TTTGGCCCCGCCCCTCAGGCCCCTAGGGGCGTAGGACTAAAACGGCAACTATTTTTGTGGACCTTTGTCCATGGAAGGTCCCTGCAAAATTTCATTGAAATTGGTTCAGTGGTTTTGGAGAAGAAGATTTTTGAAATTTTAGTCAATTTGACCCTTTTTGGCCCCGCCCCTCAGGCCCCTGGGGGCGTAGGACTAAACCGGCAACCATTTTTGTTGACCTTTGTCCATGGAAGGTCCCTGCATAATTTCATTGAAATTGGTTCAGGGGTTTTGGAGAAGAAGTCGAAAATGTTAATTGTTTACGGACGGACGACGGACGACGACGGACAAAAGGCGATCGCAATAGGTCACTTGGGACTTTGTCTCAGGTGACCTAAAAAGTTGCCGCCGGACCGTGCCATAAGCAGGCCTTCGGGCAGGTGAGCTAAAAATACCCAACTTGTCTTGCTCACTGGTAGAAACACAAGGGTAGCCAACTTTTTTCATACCATACATGTAAAGACTGCATGCATTGAAGACATCAGGTTTTTGTCTGACTCACCTGTAGAAATTGCTGGGTGGCTATATTGTTTTTTGTCAGACTCACCTGTAGAAATTGCTGGGTGGCTATATTGTTTTTTGTCAGACTCATCTGTAGAAATTGCTGGGTGGCTACTTTGTTTTCTGTCGGACTCACCTGTAGAAATTGCTGGGTGGCTATATTGTTTTTTGTCAACCTCACCTGTAGAAATTGCTGGGTGGCTTCTCTGTTTTTCAAATAAAATATTTTCATCAGTTCCATTGCCCCGGAGCTTGCTTTGCTGACCATGGGACTGGCAGTGGCACTACGACAGAACAATGGATGACAATAACAACACATCTGACAGTCTGTGTGTCTGGTTCACTTGATACAACTACACTTGATTAAGGTGTCTGCTCTTAGAACTTGTGCTGGTTTTTAAGTAAGGGAGTAACAGAGGAAAACTTCATATAATATCTACATAAAAACAGTATCAAGAAACAACAGCAAAAGTCTATAAAACAAACATGTGCCCTCCCTTCTATTTTGACGGATTTTCTAGTCGGATGTTCTACTGCTAAGCTAAAGGGAAATTCCTACAAACTAGCCAAAGCTAACTAGAACTGTAAGCTAAAGGCTAACTAATACCCCGCTCCTATATTAACCAGAGCTGTGCGCTAAAGGCTTACTTACGCAAATCAATATAGTCTCCCACCAGTAATGAGTTATGGTAATCACTATTTTATTAAAAACAAAAAAATAAAATAACAAAAAAAGTATTTCGCACAAAGGGGCATAACTCCATCAAAAAGGGTCGAAATCCCAAATTAAAATGCCAGTGCACAACAACATAAGATACCGATCATTCATGCAAGGTTTCAATGAAGTTTCAATGAAATCCAGCTGTTAGTTAAGGAGAAGTTACATGGACAGGTATTTCGCACAAAGGGGCATAACTACATCAAAAAGGGTCGAAATCCCAAATTAAAATGCTGGTGCACAACTACATAAGATACCGATCATTCATGCAAAGTTTCAATGAAATCCACTTGTTTATTACGGAGGAGTTTTCCGGACAAGTTACTGCGGATTACAGACAGACAGACATCCAGACAGGGTGATTCCAGTATACCCCCCCCTAACTTCGTTGCGGGGGTATAATAAGACTACTTTGAAATTATGTATAAAGCACATCTATTACATATAGTAGCTTACCAGTGGTCACTGGGGATGACAATGGTATCCACACCGAAGTAGTAACATGACCTTATGATACCGCCCATGTTCATTGGGTCCTGTCAATGCAAAGCGGATAATTAGCAAATATTTGATGCAATATCAAAGAGCTTGTGGATTGAGCTTCAGTTTGGTGTGAGGTATATTTAATCTGTGATTACAATACAGTTAAGTTCAGATTCAGGCCACCTGTTAAAAGATGGGTACCATTAGTGTAATTTCTGATATTAGCAGTAACTGTTTTATGTAGCTGAACTGGACTAGGCCAATCACTGTCCACCAGGTAGCTCAAGTCCTGGTCTGGCTGTGCTTTTATCCTCTCCTGTTATGTATATATCTCATTTTTCAAATTTATGATCTTCAATATTTTCATTTGCAATTTTACATCTCCATACGTGTGATGGGCAATTAGCGAATTTACAAATCAAACTCTAAACTTCTTGAGGGAAGAGGTCAAATTTTTGTAAAATTCTACCAGAATCTTTATCAAAACCTAGGAAAAAGGGTATAAATCCTGGAGGCCTACCACAATTTCGTAAGGCAGCACCCATATCGGCGGTGGTTCCACAGCAGCAGCCCTATCATCAAAGAAAAAGTGTTAATTAAGCATTGAATCTTGCTTTGGTCGATTTCATGGGTTGATGAATGGAGTTGATGTTGAAACACAAAATTTAATGAACTGCTGAACTGAATTTGTTTCAAGTTGAAATTAATTCATCACCCCATGAAATCAATTCATCACCCCATGAAATCAGTTCATCACCCCATGAAATCAATTCATCACCCCATGAAATCAATTCATCACCCCATGAAATCAGTTCATCACCCCATGAAATTGATTCATCACCCCATGAAATCAATTCAATAATTGCAACTTTTGAAAGTCCATTCTGATAGTTTGTCCCAGATTCTGAAGCTTGTGCAAGCCTACATATTGATCATTAAAGGACCATCATACAACATTATGGTGTATGGTATACACAAAGGCGATGTTGATCTGGTCAATTTCATGGGCAAATGAAACAGGTGACATTTGGTAGTCGCATCGAGTCCAATTTGAGTAGAAATTGAAATATTGTAGGAATAAGAATCCCAATAATAGTCAACAGAGTATAAATGACCTCTCAAAATCCTGTGTTTTATACCATCATAAATGCTAGGAATGTATTGTGCATTTCAATTCCTATATTTTCATAAGAAATACCACCAGAAAATTCCATTTTATTTTCCCCTGCAAACTGTTTCACCAAATGGTAGAATAGACTTTTTTTGTGTGAACCATGTCGTGTTTTCCATTTCCATCAAACAGTCATTGCTAATAATATTTTCATCATGCAAATAGCATTTCCATCAAACAAAAAACATCTTAATGGAAACCCTTTGGATATTTCCCTCAAGTATGAAATTGAAGTCACAATATGATTGGTCTCCGATTACATTAAGAGTGCTGACAGAAATACCAGAACAGTTTCCGAGGGACAATAGTTCCTTGTACTGAACTTTCATAACAAGATTTGGAGTTCAGAACTTTATATAGACACCATACAACCGAAACGGAATTATTTCATGATAAAAGAAAACTTCCCTGAAAACCTAATTTTAACCACGGACTTGGATAGCAATAATAATCTCATTCTGTGCTTCAACACTGCAGTACAAATTTGCGATTTGTTTTATCTACATGTATTGCAATTGATTTCAGAGGTTACAGGTTCTATAGAAATACCAACCACTTACCTTATATCATCGGGTGCCAGGTTTTGGATGTCCAGTGGGTCGGAATCCATACAGATTCCCTGAAAGGTGCAGTAATGGAAAAAAAAAATTTACATTTTAAGAAAATTATTAACGAAGAATTATAGCAAAGAAACATTCTGCAAAAAATTATGCCCAGAGCTTGTAAGGTAGAAAAGATGGTGATGCTAATGAGATCGATTTTTTTTAAATTTTTTTTTTGATAAGCACCTCCAAAGTTTTTTTTTGCACAAGATCCCAATTTGAGTGCAAATTCTATGCATGTATTTGATTTCTATATTTGTCAACATATGTGCATGGCTGATATTTCAGAGGTCTTTAAGTTCGTTTTTAGATTAAAGGGACAATTAAGTTAAGTATGTTTTTTTTCATAATCTTGTCACAAAATTCTTCATCGTAATTTATTTGATACTCCTTATGAACAATTCATGTTCAGAAATTGACAATGTTTACTTGACATTCTTAATCAATAATGAAGAAATCATTAATGGCACAACCATACATCGGTGAACTTCTAACTAACTGAGCATTTACAAATGTGTTTTATTTACCGGGTATGTCTTTCCAGGCGAGGAAAAAAGGTTAATTTACACTTCATTCTCCTAACTTCTTTAGAATATGAGTACAGGCATTTTTCCTGAATCAATAGCATCTTCCAAATAACATCTCAATCATCGTTATAAATGAGCAATTTATTTTACGTTTAAACCTACTGATATCATACTTTGTTCCGTTTCAAATTCTCCTTACAGTAACCTATTGTGTTTAAATTCCAATTAAACCTGGTTCTTTTTATTCAAATCCAACTGTAAACAGAAATATCTTTTTTAGGTTAGGTTTTTATATAATGATGCTTATAATTTATGTGTGAAATCAGGCTCACTAACACTGTGTTGTCGGTCGACAGTGAGGTTATGTACATGTTTACTTCTCACTGAACGGCCTGGATATTGCGCTTTTTCAATCTTAGCTACATTTATCATCGGCTTTCCCAAAAGATTAAACTGACCGCACTGGACGTTGGCTTCAGGACATGTCATTAGCAACTGTGTAAACTTATATTTAGAGATATATATGTCAAGCATTTAATTGATTTTAAGGATGTTATTTGACTAAATAGCCCCTTTAGTAATAGCACACAGCCACATTTTGACAATTAATACCAGCCCAAACCAATATTTGATAATAACTACAGCGTACTGACAATTTTTACATAGAATGTGTCCAGTGACTATATCAGGCTAGTGAAATTGTGCACCTCTGTTATTTTGTTGTTGAAACATATTTGTCAGAGACTCACTGAATGTCATTGATGTTCATAGCAGCAAATAGAAAGATGGCTTATTAAGTCGTTTATGAACAAAAGACTCAAAGGCAGATTGAGATTATTAGCAAATAATAATATTTATTTACGAAAACATTCTACCTATATATGGGCTAAGGGGATATAACAGCTGTGATAGGTCATTTTACTGAGGAAACTTTATAGCACTCCATCCCAGGTACCTACTGGCCAAATATCATGACCCTGGGCCTTATGGAACTTGAGAAGAAATTGTTAAAGATTTGAACCAAAGTTGACATTTGAACCCCCCACTAGCATTTAAAGTTGACCTTTGATCTCATAACTGTAACGAGAAAAATATTCGCACTGCTGGTCTACATAACATACCCAAGTATCATGACTCTAGTTCAAATGGTTCTTAGGATATTGTTGTTTGAAAATTTTCCCATATTTGACCGCTGTGACCTTGAAAGTAGGTCAAGGTCATTTTAATGAGGAAACTTTATAGCATTCCATCCAAGGTACCTACTGGCCAAATAGCATGACCCTAGGTCCTACAGTTCTTCAGAAGAAGTCATTCAAAAGAAAAAGTTGACGGATGGAGTACGGACGCCGCAGTACGGCATGCATAAGCACACATGGCCCTTTGGGCCAGGTGAGCTAAAAATGGGTAACTGCCCCTTTGCAACAAAGCTAAAAGAATTGAATGTTTTAAGGAACATGCTGCAGAGCGGGTCACCATCCCCAACTCCCTAAATGGAAGGGGGAGGTGTTATTTTCCATGCTCGGAAACAGCTGGCAAGTGTTTACTCACATAAATGCCTTATTATAAACAGCCGTTATATCCCCAGGCATCACATGAAATAGTCTTGTGGTTGGTTGGTTGGGGAGGGTGGTGGGTCACGAAATAATCAGACACACAAATCTACTGCAAACAGGCTGCTGAAACTGACCCAAACAAAGACCGAGTCACGTGACTTAACTGACCAATCATTGGCTGATCACCAGTGCCACGTGGCTGAAACTGACCATAGCTGACCTAACTGCCTGTGCGGCTGCGTGTGAAATGGTAGACTTGTCTTAGTTCATAAACCACACTTATGTACATAAGTTTCAATTAACGCAACATTTTTAAAAATGTAAGTTTAATACAGATCTTATCAATTCAAATGGTATTTTTTGCATTTGATGGTAATTTTAACAGGAGTTTTATATTTTTTCCAGTTTTGTTTGTTTGTTATAATTTGCAAAATATAAATACAGTCGAACCTCGTTATCTCGAAGTCGACGGGATCGTTGGGAAACTTCGAGTTATCCGACTATTCGAGTTAAGCGAGTTCCTATGTTTGGCATAAAGCTTGGTTATATATGTCATTGATTTCTCTGACAATCAACGTATTTAAACAGTCGGATAAATGACAAAAAGATACCTATATAAAATAAAAAATAACAACTTATTCATAATCCTATTAGTTAATTAATTAATGTTACAATAAACACACATGCTGTCTCCGTCCTCGTGCTATGCTGATAGAAATTTCAATGCGGAAATGAAAGTGCGCAAGTCTTTACACAAATCACTGTACTGGAGCGTACACGTTGGATTGCTCAGTTGATTTCGACATTCCAAAATGGGTGTGAGTCAGGAAACATTTCCACATTTGTAGACTCCAACGACACTTGACATCTCCTCAACACGACGTATTCAACAATAATTATCGTGTTGTTCATATAATCTCTCAATTAGTTATCAGTGCCATACAAGCTCCTGTAAAAACATAAACTGGCGAACCAGTCCTAGGTTGTGATTTTTACTGTGGAGCTTATTTAAGCATGATCGCACACTGTGACCCATTATCGGCAGCCTTTATGTAAATAAAGTGCCATTCAAATTGTTTACGGGCTCTCGCAGTGAGTACTAATTGTTGTTAATCAACATTGATGAAGTCTGTTTCTTTATTTGAACAAAGTGTTTTTACAGTCAAATACATTTTAATGCCATAAGTTAAATAGAAGTAATTATGACCGAGCGTCAGCTGCTCATTTAGAACGATTTTTTACCGTAGCACTGCGTCTAATATGTATCAAATAATTAAAGAATATATGATAGACTTGTGAATCTTAAGAAACTTCGAGGTAGGAGATATTTTTATGTAGGATTTACCTTGTTGGGACCGATGTTTCACTTCGGGATATCCAAGTTTTTCGAGTTTTCAGAGTTCGAATTATCAGAGTTTTTATTACTAAGATTAAGAAGAGTTTTGGCCGGGATCGATGAAATGCTTCGAGTTAAACGGGGTCTTCGAGTTATACGAGTTCGAGATAACGAGGTTCGACTGTACTTGTGTTTAATACTTATTTTTAGCTGCAATTTAAACATTAAAATTAATTTATTGGCCCACATGCGAGTCATAATTCAAATGCTTGCAATTTCTCTTAACCATACAAGAGGTCTATGTGGCCTGTATTGCTCACCTATTTATAAATCCAAATGGTAAAGTCGATAAGTGATTCCAAAACGCACTGTAAGATTTTCATGCCCGTATAAATACAAATCGGTTACATATGTGTTGTCCTTTAAATGACATTGGAAGAACAGCCCTATTTGAATAAAATAGGCGCTAATAATAAACCGTAGCCATTTGAGTGTTTGACGCAGGGGCGTTGATCTCCATGTTATCTGAAGCGAAGCGACACAAGTCTAATTGAACAAGGTTAATCTATGACATCATAATTAAATCATGTGTTACGTCACAAGAGGTTTTGCATTGCTTTCATACTCAAATAAAATGGATTTTGGCTGGTAATGATCATATAGTGGGTTGCAGCACAAGTGTAAACATAAATTTGTGACTAGAATCTGCATTTATAGACACAATATAGGGCATTAGTGGTACTGAAACAGCTGAAGACAAGACATTAATCAGCAATAGATAGATGACAGCGAACGCGCCATGGCATAAGCTCACAAGCACTTTCTTTCAGGTGAGCTCAAAAACATTGTCAGACCAAGAATAAGAACTGAAAACCAAAACTGATATATATATATATATATATATATATATGTATTCCAGAGGATGACATCATGTCAAGAAGTCTACCTGATGTGGTCGACCTAGACATAACTGGTCAAGGTGTATCCGGGAAACCTGCTCCACCGGTATCTTGGCTTCCTCAGCCATGCCCAGAATATTTACATCTGGAGAGAGTGTGCGACCTCGTTGGATAAAGATCTTGTGACAATGTCGTCTTCCCTGGGACAGCGCTATACTCACAGGGTGATACCCGAACAACACCTCACCCTTGACTGGGTATATCCAATTACTGAATCTACAATGAAGCAGGATACCATAGTCATTATTTCTTCTTCAAGAGTAACATCATTATTGTTTTTGGACTGGTCATGCAGAGTTTTCATATACACTACGTAATACAACAAATGCTGTAATAGTGAGGGGCAACTGGTTTGAAATCATAATCGATAATCGGTTTGTTACTATAACATCAATAGACAGAGTTGTTAACTATACACTACTATAACATCAATAGAAAGAATTGTTTACTATACACTACCATAACATCAATAGACAGAGTTGTTTACTATACACTACTGTTACATCAATAGACAGAATTGTTTACTATACACTACCATAACAGCAATGGACAGAATTGTTAACTATACACTACCATAACATCAATAGAAACAGCAATGGACAGAATTGTTAACTATACACTACAATAACATCAATAGACAGAGTTGTTTACGATACACTACCAAAACATCAATAGACAGAGTTGTTTACTATGCACTACCATAACATCAATAGACAGAATTGTTAACTATACACTACAATAACATCAATAGACAGAGTTGTTTCCTATACACTACCATAACATCAATAGAAACAGCAATGGACAGAATTGTTAACTATACACTCCCATAACATCAATAGACAGAGTTGTCTACTATACACTACCATAACATCAATAAACAGAGCTGTTCACCTTTTATAATGAATGGATATCAATCAACTTTTATACATTTTTATCAATCATATAGTATAAATCATAACAATATATGAATTTCAAAGCATACTTTACATTGAAGACATTTAAACACTTTGATTTCAATCATGTACCGATTATACCGATCATGAAATTCGTAATCGATAATCGGAACAGACAAAGTTGTTAACTATACACTACTGTTACATCAATAAACACAATTGTTTACTATACACTACCATAACAGCAATGGACAGAATTGTTAACTATACACTCCCATAACATCAATAGACAGAGTTGTCTACTATACACTACCATAACATCAATAGAAACAGCAATGGACAGAATTGTTAACTATACACTACAATAACATCAATAGACAGAGTTGTTTCCTATACACTACCATAACATCAATAGACAAAGTTGTTAACTATACACTACTGTTACATCAATAAACACAATTGTTTACTATACACTACCATAACATCAATAGAAAGAGTTGTTAACTATACACTACCATCACATCAATAGACAGAGTTGTTTACTATGCACTACCATAACATCAATAGACAGAATTGTTTACTATACACTTCCATAACATCATTAGACAGAGTTGTTTACTATACACTGCTGTTACATCAATAGACAGAATTGTTTACTATACACTTCCATAACATCAATAGACAGAGTTGTCTACTATACACTACCATAACATCAATAGACAAAGTTGTTAACTATACACTACTGTTACATCAATAGACACAGTTGTTAACTATACACTACCATAACATCAATAGACAGAATTGTTAACTATACACTACAATAACATCAATAGACAGAGTTGTTTACTCTACACTACTGTTTCATCAATAGACAGAATTGTTTACTTTACACTACCATAACAGCAATGGACAGAATTGTTAACTATACACTACCATAACATCAATAGACAGAGTTGTGAACTATACACTGCCATAACATCAATAGACAGAGTTGTTCACTATACTCTACCATAACATCAATAGACAGAGTTGGTTACTATACACTACTGTTACATCAATAAACACAATTGTTTACTATACACTACCATAACAGCAATGGACAGAATTGTTAACTATACACTCCCATAACATCAATAGACAGAGTTGTGAACTATACACTGCCATAACATCAATAGACAGAGTTGTTAACTATACTCTACCATAACATCAATAGACAGAGTTGGTTACTATACACTACTGTTACATCAATAGGCAGAATTGTTTACTATACACTACCATATCATCAATAGACAGAGTTGTTTACTATACCCTACCATAACATCAATAGACAGAGTTGGTTACTATACACTACTGTTACATCAATAGGCAGAATTGTTTACTATACACTACCATAACAGCAATGGACAGAATTGTTAACTATACACTACCATAACATCAATAGAAAGAGTTGTTAACTATACACTACCATCACATCAATAGACAGAGTTGTTTACTCTACACTACTGTTTCATCAATAGACAGAATTGTTTACTTTACACTACCATAACAGCAATGGACAGAATAGTTAACTATACACTACCATAACATCAATAGAAAGAGTTGTTAACTATACACTACCATATCATCAATAGACAGATTTGTTTACTATACACTTCCATAACAGCAATGGACAGAATTGTTAACTATACACTACAATAACATCAATAGACAGAGTTGTTTCCTATACACTACCATAACATCAATAGAAACAGCAATGGACAGAATTGTTAACTATACACTACAATAACATCAATAGACAGAGTTGTTTACGATACACTACCAAAACATCAATAGACAGAGTTGTTTACGATACACTACCAAAACATCAATAGACAGAGTTGTTTACGATACACTACCAAAACATCAATAGACAGAGTTGTTTACTATACTCTACCATAACATCAATAGACAGAGTTGGTTACTATACACTACTGTTACATCAATAGGCAGAATTGTTTACTATACACTACCATAACAGCAATGGACAGAATTGTTAACTATACACTACAATAACATCAATAGACAGAGTTGTTTACTCTACACTACTGTTTCATCAATAGACAGAATTGTTTACTTTACACTACCATAACAGCAATGGACAGAATTGTTAACTATACACTCCCATAACATCAATAGACAGAGTTGTGAACTATACACTGCCATAACATCAATAGACAGAGTTGTTAACTATACACTACCATAACATCAATAAACAGAGTTGTTCACCTTTTATAATGAATGGATATCAAACAACTTTTATACATTTTTATCAATCATATAGTATAAATCATAACAATATATGACTTTCAAAGCATACTTTACATTGAAGACATTTAAACACTTTGATTTCAATCATGTACCGATTATACCGATCATGAAATTCGTAATCGATAATCGGAACCGGAAAGGGCAAAACAATCGATTTTCGATTATAACCAATCATCAGCCCGTCACTATTTAATAGTCAGATTATATGAAAGTTTTTGTCAATCGGTTTAAAATCATAATCAATAATCGTTTCGTAATCGGAAGTAGTATTTGATATAAATCGATTGCATAATAGATTTGTTATTTCATGGAACTCAATAGGAAATAAAGTGTGTACACTATTTTCATATCAACACACAGAGTTTTCACCATACATAATTAGGTTTTGATCTTTTACAACCAATGGACATGCAGTTTTTTTCTCTCTCTACATTACGATCAATCATACCAAAACACTCCTTATATTTTCATAACATGACAAATGTGGATTATATATAATCAAAAATTAATATCAAAATTCACAAATATTTAGTGAAATTTGAAGACAAAATCCTTGCAATTCCTATAAATGGCTATAAAAATAAATCAAACTGACCAAAGATGAAAATAAGAATACTTACACCTGCCCGTATTTCCTTCCAGAGCCAAGAACTGGTCTTTTTCCTTTCCCCTCGTTTTTCCTATTGCCATCCTCTGCTTTATCATTTTTTCGAGAATTGAACTTCCTGCCATCCTTTGCACTATTTTCACTGCTTTCTTCGTCAAATTCGTCTGTTTTTTCCTGTCTGAAAGTTTTTTTATCACTATTAAATTTAATGCCATCATGAGAATTGAAATTTTTCTCTTTCTTGAATTTTAAGTCCTTATCAGATCTTTTCCCCCTAAAAGGTCGTTTTTCATTGCTGAATTTGAAACCATCATCAGATTTACTCTCTCTGAACCGTCGATCTTCTTGATTGAATTGGTAGTTGGTTTCTGTATCTTTCCTATCAAATGATTTGTCTCCGTTATTGCCCCTTAGTCTGTGAAATGATGTTTTCCTTTGAACTTTGTTTTTATCGACAGTTTCCTCTATGTGTGATCCTTTTCCTTGGCTTTCACTGGAAACTATCACATGATCATGGCAGTGCCTCTGTTTCTGGGAGAGCATTGCAGAAATGACACGTGTCACATTTACAAGTTGTCTCCCTTGGACAATGTTGTAATACAATTGTCTTGTTATCGCAGACATCATGTCACATTAGTTTTCCAACTGCAAAAAAGAAGATGCATATGATTTTGGTGACTTTCACAAAAGTTACATAAAATAGGAATGAGATTAAAACAAGAGGCCCAGAGGGCCTGTATCGCTCACCTGAATATTTAAGCAGTCATAGCAAAATATTCTCATTAAATATTATATTGCACTACAAATATTTCCCTCGCAAACTTTGTCGGCTCCATCTGTTGAAACTACCAGCCAAATATTATTATAAGTTTCTATGCTTTTTGGTTCTTCTTCAGAAGTTACTTGACACATTTTTCCCTGTGACTTTGTAAGTAGGTCAATGTCATTTTCCTTCTCATACTTTGTTAGCTCTATCCCAAAAAGCTACCAGGCAAATCTTATGAATCCATTCCTTTTGTTTCTTAAAAACAAATCCTTTAAAATGTTGTTGACCTCTGTGACCTTTAAGGTAGGTTGAGGTCATTTTCATTCTCAAACTTTGGTGAGCTCTATCCCAGGAAACCTCCAGCCAAATATGAAGATTCTATACTTTTAAGTTCTTCAGAAGAAGTTGTTTGAAGCGTTTGACATATTTGACCTCTGCAACCTTGAAAGTACGTCAAAGTCATTTTCATTCTCAAACTTTGTCGGGCTCCATCCCATGAAGACATCAGCCAAATATGAAGAATCTGTACTTTACAGTTCTTCAGAAGAAGTTGTTTGAAGTGTTTGACATATTTGACCGCTGTGACCTTAAAGTAGGCCAAAGTCATTTTCATTTCCATTCTCAAACTTTTTTGGGGTCTATCCCAGAAAGCCACCAATCAAATATAAAGATTCTACACCTTTCAGTTCTTCAGAAGAAGCCGTTTAAAGAGTTTGACACATTTGCCAGCTGTGACCTTTAAAGTAGATCAAGGTCATTTTTATTCTCAAACTTTGTCGGGCTCCAACCAAGGAAGCCACCAGCCAAATATAAAGGTTCTATACCTTTCAGTTCTTCATCAGAAGTCGGTTGAAGTTTTTGACATGTTTGACCCCTGTGACCTTGAAAATAGGTCAAGGTCATTTTCAAACTTTGTCAGGCTTCTATCAACGAATCTTTCAGACAAATATCATGACTCTAGGCCTGTCTGTTCTTCAGAAGAAGTTGTTTAAAGGAAAAGTTGACGGATGACACCGGACGACGGACGCCGCACCATGACATAAGCTCACTTGCCCTTTGCGCAGGTGATCTAAAAAAATCAAAGTACCGAATGCTGAACCTATTGAAACAATCATTGATATCAGATTCATCTTCATTGCAATAAAAATATATGTCGCTACTGATGATGACTGGAATATTTTTTCATCAAACCACCAAAGAATAAGTTTTTAAAGAAAGAAAGAAAAATATCAGCACTTTAATGCAGTGGATTTTTTTTCATATTAAATAGGTAAAGAAATAGGTTATACACAATTCACAGTCCCAAGTAGCAATTATTTTTGTTGCCGTGATAATAGACTGACAACTGGAGTCTACCTGTATCTAAAAACTGAACAAGTCTAGATGCTGGTACCTGATGGCCAAATAATATATTGCAGAAATGATCTTCAAATCTGTTTGAAATAAAATCACAGAAATTTTATTTATGAAAAAAAATCTAAAAAAAAATCTCTTTACTTCAGCAATACATGTGTAGAATTGGAATGGAACGAAATCATAGGTAGGTTAACTGAAAGTCTTTGATCATAAACTATATATCGATAACACAATGATACGTTGAGGCAGTACATAATCGAGCGTCCTATGAAGTTTGCCTGCTCAAAAAAAATAAAAATGAAAAATAATAATATGAATAAGTGAAAAAAGAAAGTAATTGCAATATTGCAATACATGTCATTGGAGACTATAGAACAACCAACAGCATAAAAACTACAACGGAACAAAAGGTAATGTCATGCTCTACCGCATCATCAATGAGCTAGTATAGTGGCAAAACCATTACAATAATTTTTCAAGATGACATTATAGTCTTTGCTTCCATCTTCCTTTCTCCAGGTTACAAAGCCACCTTTTCCCCCTGTTATTTGCCTGTGGAATGACTTACCAACGGGTCGGTCAGTCATCTCAGCAAACTCTCTAGGTCTAAGGAGAGACTGCAGCTTTTGTGACTGTGATGCTGTGAGCACCCCTGATTTAATTGTATCCACTGCCTATGAGGTTTTTAATGGTCTTAATTGAGAACTGTTTCCCCTGGGTACATGTCACATCAGCGACAACACATCAGAGATGGTATACAGATTATTGGAAGAATTTGAATAACACCAGTGTTCAAATGGCCACATTAACCCAGGTCCCTTGTGGTTGTCAGGAGTTTTGGCATTCAAAGTGATATAAAGTGTTCATCAAATGATGTTTACTGGTCGCCTAGGAGTTGATATACAGGGCCAATTGTGGTGGGACTAAATATACATCCAACGATAGTATATATATATGAAATATACCTTCAGTGGTTCATGCTGGTCACTTGCAGTCACTGGGCAGTGGTCAGTTGTGTCTGAAGAATTTGAGTCCCATCCACCGAATGAACAAACAGATGACGAATACAATTAAAGTGCTCGGCAGCAACAGTAGGTAGTAAACAAGACCATAGGTCTCAAAGCTCTCTCCTAAACTCTCGATCATAGCCTGCAACAGAAATTTAGAAAGACGTAGGTTATTTACAACATAGCATACTTCATTATGTTTCATTTATATTGGAGATTTATAAGGGGGGACAATTTGGATTTTCTGATTTGAATATTATGACTTCTGTGATAGATCTATGTTGGACAGCCAAGACAGACAAATATACAAGTTGATGAAGACTGGAAAAGATCGGTCCCCATCATGATCGCTCAGTTATTACTAGTTCTCTGAATGAGGATGTGACCTTACATGGATTTGACCTTGACTTACATAGGGCTTTCATCGATGAAGCAGACAACGTTTGTAAACTAAACCCTTCCAACAACTGGTCTTATTTGTCTTGTACTTTTTAAAGGGTTTCCATATAGCTGTTTTATTTGTTAACATTTTGCCCTAGTTTTTGTAACGGTATTGCCCTCATCGAGCACTCCTATATCATACTTGCAAACTTTTTGAAATTTCCATGGGGGAGAATGCTCAGAATTAAAAGCATAAATAAAATAGTTGTGTATACACAACCTATGGGGAAAAACACCTTTATATGGCATCAATCTCTTGCACTGTTCTTTCAGATGAAATCATTAGATGTTAGATTATAGGAATAGTTTAGCAAATTCACTGGTTGAAAATGCTCAATTTCAGGGTCAAAAACCGGGAGTGTCCCTCTAAAATAGGGAGAGTTGGCAAGCATGCTATATATGTGTTATTGAACGTGCCTGTAATTTGTTTATGTGTAATATGTCATCATTATATGTTAACGCTAGCTCCACTCCTGAATACACAGGATCTCCACAGATGTGCGTTTCTAGTGTTTTATTATAATCTGTTAGCGATGTCAGGCAACAGACAACGCTACAGTTTTATAAAATTTCAGTTCAAAATATGATTTTGTTGACACTTATATATATATATTCTCTTCAATTTGAAGGAGCTCATTATGGCAAGTACATGGCATAGGTTGGGAAGTATTTTATTTTACTTACGATATACCTCCGGTCAGTTTGAAAAGGTGGAAAATCCTAACACACTTTTTGAACAATATAAATAATAATTTCTGTCTACAGGTAGTTCGAACCCTCCTTACCCACTTTTTGGATTGTTTGAACACAAAACTTGAGTACTGAGGTAATGTATACGTAATTATTGATGGATTTTAGCTATTGGCAATGCAATAATAGCTATGCGAATTGCTAAACGGAAGTAGGAAGTACATCCCTAGTTGAAAATCCAATGTAGGGAGACAGTATCACAATTTCCGCATATTCTAATGTTTAATATTAAACTGATGAATATTGTATAAGCTCATATAATTGTGAATGTATTGTAATGTGCTGTCCAGTTTTTGGTCATGTGCATGTGTTTAAAACCTGTTTGTCTATTCATATAGATACTTCTGTTGGTCAGTTTGTAGGCGTGTCTATATTCGGTCATTTTATTGGTCCTGGGGGTGGAACTACTATATTGACAAGAGTGTGAAGACGGGTAACAGCATGCTCGGTTTCCTTAAATGCAATCTATACGTATCAGCAGTGAAGAGGTAAAGGGTACGGCCTTTAAAACACTTGTGCGACCAAACCTGGGGTACTGTTACAGTTTGGAACCTGTACACCAAGAACCAGACACACAAGCTGGAGATGGTTCAGAGGAGAGCTGCCAGATATGTCACCAACAGATATCACAACAGCAGCAGTGTATCGATCCTCCATGCTAGACCAAATGGGGTGGGAAACACTAGAATCTTGTCGGACCAAAGCCTAGCTAATAATACAGTAATGTTCAAGATCGCTATCGACCTTTGTGGACATACCAATCAGCCAGTACCTCACCCCAGCCCAGGGACATACAAGATCCTCGAGCTCCCACTCCAGGAAATTCCGCCAGCCCTCCAGTATAGAGAGTGAGTACATCCACATCATACTACAGAAACTCATTCATTCCATGAACAGATTCAGTATGGAACAGCCTATCTGCTTGCGTAGCAGACACCCTGACTTGGTATCCTTCAAGCAGGGCTATCAACACTCTTATTCTAGTTCGCAGGGTCCAGCAACAAGTAGTTTCTACCCGTTTCTAGTGTAACAGTTACTAAGTATCCCCTTAAAACTGTTTGCATTTTATTTCGTCAATTCTGATTTTATTAGATTTGTTTGGGAAAAAAAGAAGAACGCTGCTTGTTTAAACTAGTATGACAAGAACTACTCTCCATGTGATACGAACCTCAGAAACTGCATTTCATTTACACAAACCATACCAGTCATAAGCCCATGTGCGCCGGAACCGTTCGTCTGTAATCTTATGTAGCCGCTTATAGCAATAAAAATAATCATCGTACATTAACATTGCTGAATTGCATTAGGACAATTTATTTATAGTTCACATACTTCTAACTACTGAAGTTTATCTACATAGATGAAAAAATATATCATTTGGAACAAAATTATTCTCAGAAAATGAATTATTATTCTTGTTAGTTTCGTAAGGGGCTACATAAAATGACAGCTAACATGAAAAAGTAACTTCTACTTAGATATTACCAGCATTCGCAGATTTACGTAAGTATCTACGATTTATTACCTCACTTGTTAATTGTTCATATGTATATGTTTACTATTGATGTACGAGTTTAATCAACAAGGCATAAATAACATCACAGACGTCAGTTACATTGTGCTTGTCATGTTGCCGTCACGCTGGTACAGTATCAATTTTGGAATCGTAGCCTAACAACAGGATAATGAAGTGCAGGTTATAATATCCGGTTACTTCTCACTTAAGGTATATACTCTATGTGTAACTGGTATAAAACTTAAATTATAATTTAGTTGATAATATGTCATATTACTTTGATGATTTAACTTTTTGATATGGAAAATTAAATGGAATGTCAAATGTTGATATTTATTGACAGATATATATATTTATATTCTAGTTACAGTATAGTTCTAGAGTTGGTTGTGAAACTGGTACTGACGTGTTCAGTTCTTGGTCGTTTTGTTACCTAGATCTTGGTAATTGTAGAAAATGCTCCTCCAAAAGTCCTTTTGATACTTTAAAAGTATTAGCAACACTTCCAACCCAGCACCTTGTTTGGATGCCTTTTGGATTGGCAGACCTTTGGGCTATTCTATAGGCATCATGCTTGCACAAAAAGCTAAACAAGCAACCCCTATATTTTCTTGTAGTTGAGTTATTCATACGCCAAAAATATGACAAAACGTTCAAAGGGTCGGTTCCGTCATGAAGAGCTGTTTGCAAACTATGTTCCGACTTAAAGTATTCCTTTTGACGATAATAATGTTATACCCAAACATCAAAGCAACCAATCATGTTGATAATCTGTGTAACTGGAGTTTAAAATAATTGCGGATGAATACAATGTTTGTGTGTATTGTGATATTTTAGTTTGTCCTTGCTTGGTAACAAGTATTGGTGTCGCCGGGTATAAAAAGCGCATTACCTGTCAAACTGGTTTTCATTCTACACTGACCGTCTTGCGATTCAATGCACTATGCACTCTGATCGGCAACCAATATAAAAAATCAAACGCACTCACCTGAAGACTTTGAAACACTGGTTTCTGCCAAGCTGGTTGCTTACTTATGGCACATTCTTGAAAAATTGTGTGTCCAAAATAAAAGGTATATTACCGAAAATACTTCAATAAATCCCATATATATCATCAGCATAGAACCGCACACACTCACAAAATCTTTATTATGAACTCTAAGTCTTCACCGTGTAGATGCTTAACTAGCAAAACACTTGCAAAATGCGACACTCCCAGGTGTGTAGTCAGCTACGGGAAATATCTTTGATGACATATGTTCCATTTCAATTTTCTTCAACTGATCTGATAAAAAAATGTTGTTTTGAAAATCATGAAAGTGTTCTATTTATATATACATGATAGTAGTGTCACCTTGCGCACACATTAAACAAGTGATAACCGGTTTGCACTTTTTATACCCAGCAAAATACTAAAATATCACGTTACCAAGCAAGCACATTCTAAAATGTTGCCGCTTCCTTAGATACAACAGCCGGAAGAGATTGTCACTAGGGAAGATCTTAAAACCAGATATTTTTTTTTATCTCGATTGAAAACTTTTTAACTTGCACTGTCAGCTTCAATGTAGAATTGCACTTCCATTGGGCACTCAACCTGGTGTCTTAAGTTTTGAATTTCATTCTTAAAATGTCTGCAGGTGCTCAAAAATTTCATAAAAAAAGTAGTGACGTTTTTTGGGGGGTTAGCCAACGAATACCAAAGAACACATTCAGTATCCACGTCGGTAATTTATTAACTGGTCAGAAGCATTTGAAAACTACAACAAGGCATGTATAGAATATAATAAGATTAATAAGCATATTCTGACAAACTTCCTTATGATACCATGCTTGCTAATTAATGTATGCACTCCATGGGGGTCATAGTTTCCTAGCTAACCATCCACTAATTATAACAGTGAGTCTTTTTTGGATCTGTGCTCCGACCTACCTTTTAATACTGTCGTAAACAAATGTAACTTGATTTAAAGGCTCTGTCAAAATGTGTTCTGATTCAAAAAACTTTTTTTCACTTGCTGTGAGAAACGGAACAATTGCTCCCTCAAAAGATTGATGTCTTTGTGTTGTTGAATATTAAGCATAGTGTGATCACCAACATGTCATAAGTGTTGCTCTCGCTGCCCGCCACGGAACACACAACAGACAAAAAAACACAACGTGTACCTATCACCCCTTCATGCCAAGTTTTATTATAGTTGATTTGGTTTTCTATTGATACGGAAGGTCAAAGCTTGAAAAACTGTAATGGTCTCTGTGACTTATCCTAATTTATGACCAATTTGCATGTCAGTATTTTTGAAACTGGACACAATCTAAAAAACTTTGTGGCAGTGCCAGATCGCCAGCAAAAGTGGTATGCGCTTGCTAAACTAAGCTAGGTCACACTCACAGAATTACAACTACTAATAAATAGCTTAGAATCCTTAGAGTTCTTGCTAACAAACATTGTGTCAAGTTTTATGAGCCAATTAATTAGGAAACACATGCATTATGCACAAGGCAGACGAAGATAGCTTATTAATTTAACATAACAATTAACAACAAACATCCACAGTGCTCCAGATAGACTGCGTGAATGCATATTCATGCACGATAAATCGATAATACACATATTACGCAAAAGAAAAAAATGAACTTGTTAATTCACGCAAGCAAAAGCTGGAACATTGCGAACATGTTAAATTGGTGCAAACAGTATTCCACTGACATCAGACACAAGCTTTTAATATGAAATGAAAGAAAACAAACCTGTTGTCGTATTTGTCGGGCATTTGGGTTGTGACAACTATTAGTGATTGCATCAGAACTTTTTACTTTTATATGCTTGAGTTACTTTTTCTGCATTACATTGAGTACAAAAGTCCATAATTAGGTTGGTGTATTGCAGTGGGTGGCATGTCTCTTCAAATAAACTTGAAATATTACATGTGGACAGGTAATGATAACCTAGAAACAATCGAAAACAGCTTATTCAGTTATCATCATAATAAGCGGGTTCTACTGTATTACAATATTTGCTTACAGTGTGGTTAATATTTTGTGACACAATGTTAATTGTGATATTTCTGAAATTAAGTATCCGGGTAAGGATGACTGAATACATCTAACAGTGAAACTATCATGTATCCTGTTGAACAATAATGTATTATCCAAGCATTGTCTGATTAAATTCATGCTCCACTTGAGGAATACAGCAGTTACAATAGAGCAGATAAGTAGAACAAATGATTTAATTGTTTACTGTTTGTTTGCTATGAAAAATTGATTTAAGTTTTATGCTGCACCTGTAACCGGGTTGGGTCCTTGAATAATGACAAAGTCAACCGGGTCGGGTTCGAGCACTTATTGTCTCTCCGATATGATGATCACAGTAAATAGTATAGATATTGCACACAAGCAGCTACCAGCTAGTATGGATGATGTACACAGATATAGATGGTTTTGACAACCCTGCAATAGAAAATTACACACCTATAAGAAACATAGTTACATACATATCTCCTTTCTTGTATCATAATGTGAACCCTACGTAATAGCTATAAGTCACAATTATATAGATCATATAAAATCCACATAAACATTACACTTATCCTATTTATCTAATTTAGTAAAATCTATTCATCTCTCTCTATACATACATGTACAATCATGATGACTTTGAAAGAAAGAAAGATTAACTATTTAACTTTTCCTATTGTTCACACAATACATAGAATGCAACAAGGGGAGATAATCCTCTGGTTGACTAATAACAACATTATTCATCAATACTAGATAATGGATATGATCCAAATCTACCTATTGCATTATACAGAAAAACAGAATAATGTCAAAACAAATGATCTGACTAGGATACATCTATAACAATTATACATTTGTTAAAACAATAGATAAAATACTGCTTACCCCAACTATGGGTAGAGGGTCATGTGCCGATCCTTTATATTGGATCAGTCCAATCTATACGCATGAAAATATGCGGTCTGATCCTTTACTGTAATATCAAATGAAAATACTAGGTCAGATAACTATATTTACAGCTATGGACTTTGTCTTTACAAAAACTGAGAGTTTAGGTTTCATCCATATTTTAGCCATATTTCAGAACAATACATTTTAACCATGAAAAGTATCTATTATAATCTAAACAGAAAGTGTAATAATAAAATATTCTTAATTCTCAGTTACTCTGGGTATTTCAATTATACCATTTACCAAAAATCCTAGATTAGTAATAAATTAAACCTATACATTTTTATACGATCGTCAAATTTGACGGTAGTATTATGGTATGGTGTTGTCCGTCTGTCCGTCCGTCAGTCTGGCAATCTCCTCCTAGTTGTGTCTCCCTTAATAGAATTTTGATTCAACAATTTTTTCAAAAGTTATTGCCCTTTGTTCATTTCAGTATTTGAATTTTGTCCGGAGATCATCTCCTACATTTTTCGCCCGATCTCTTTGAAACTTGGTATACATGATAATCATGATATGAAGTTGTGTCTCCCTTAAAAGAATTTTGATTCAATGATTTTTGCAAAATTTATTGCCTTTTGTTTATTTCAGTATTTGATTTTTTGTCTGAAGGTTTTCTCCTACATTTTTTATAGCATATCAGCTAACCACTCTTAGAATGATGCAGATTTTATTTCAATGTAAGAAAGTATATAACACTATATGGCATTCGACGGGCGTATTTTGTTCCGCCCCGCGGTACTCTTGTTAGAACTAATATATAT